ACTCATGGAGACTGTACTGTTTAAAGGAACCCTATGAAGGTCCATTAAGTGATAATCTGCATAAGAATTTGTTTTTCATAAAGTTGCATTTCTTTAAAATAGTCCCAGAATTCCTATAATCTTAACTCTTGTTTCAGTGTCATGAACTAGAGCATCTCATCAAAGTAGCAACTGAATCATGGTGGCATTTTGTTGTGGGGTGAAATGGATGGTAGCCTCATAATATCCCCCAATTAAGGGAGCTTTTGGAATACACTACTGTCTCCTGAAACCACCTCATTCATATGCTGGAAGACTGTGCATTTGCACAGAACCATCAATTCCTAGAACTCACTTACCTATCCTAGGCCCAATATTTGTTTCTAGGATTTTCTATAAAAGGACGTGTCAGCTGATATGTAATATTTCCAGTCTGTGGCCTTTATTCTTTTCATGGATGTACATTGAAATTATTAGTGAAGCTAATGGAGGAAGATGAAATTATCCATTGCCAAGGGATATCTTGGAATGATGATTGAGTAATTGTACTCTAAATACAAAATAAGGGTGTCATGCTTATCACACTTTAATTTTCCCAGAATCCTGATCTGTTCTAAAACTCTTGTGAAACTAATTTCAGAAGAGTGTAATAAAGCTTGCTTTAATTTTTCACTCAATTGGGTCATGTGGAAAAAAGGAACTAGTCAGTGACAGTTGAGTGCCAGTTTGGTCTGGATATAAAATATCTCCCCTAGGTTGATTGAGTCTGTGTAACTGGTACGCACTTTGGTCCACAGAGCAGAGGAGGGGCTGGCCTGAGAGCTGCACTGCAAATGCTGCTCCTCTGCTGGCTCTGCAGCATCCCTGTGTGAAGGCTTTATTTTCTGGAGCCACATGCAGGGATAGTTGAGTGTGGGGGCCTTTAAGGATGCTCCACCAGGACTTCTTGGCCTTGGGAAGCTCAGAAGGCCCTTACAGCACAAGTTTGTCCTAAGGTGGGATACATCGCATGATCGTCACAGACCCACAGACCCCAGAAGGAAGGGTATTGTGCATCAAAGGCTAGTCATGACTTAACTTCACACAGAAAAATAGGGCAGGGGAGCCAGCCTCCTGAATTTCCCCAGATGTTCTAATATACCATGAGAAGACTACAACATAACTTGCCTGAGCAAGCATTTGACCTGGGGCTCATGAAGCACATGTAAGTTGTGTATGTCCCACCTCATCTGAAAGCATGGAAAGCTTTTCATCTTGGATAATACTCTTAGACTTCCAAGAGTCTTGACCTTGTCCTGTGAGCCATTAAGGACAATGTGGGAAAACAATGATCTAGCCTGTTGATGGCCAAACCACCTATTCCTGAGCATTCCCCCATGGTACCTGGCCTAGCTTGAGTTGGAGTCCCTGTCAGTTTCAGAGCTCTGGGCTCTCAACTCTGCAAGGCCCTCTTAGTGTCCCACTCTGGCCTACTAAGATGTGTGAGCAGAGTCTGAAGCGAACCCAAGGCTTTTCTAGAGGCTCTGACCCACCAGTTAGAGATTCCCTTGACCAAAGCTCTGGCATCTCTATTAAAGTGCCCTGGGTGGCCCAAGGGGAGGAGTGATTGCCATATGGTAGCCACAACTCCCTTGATTCTAGGACCCTGAGCCCTATCCAGTCACCAGCAACAGCCATGCTTCCCCGTCCCCAGCCCTATGAGTTCCCCACAATGATGAGGGATAGAGGCCTGTAGAGGTTGGTCAACTCAGCCTGCCAGAGCCTTTTACAGAGGAAGACCTAGGCTCCTTGATGTTGTCCTAGTCTCTGAGACTTTGCTTCAATTAATTTTATCCCAAAGCCAGTTTGATCATTGTCTGGGAAGTTGTTTTCTGTGGATACCAATTTTGCTCAGCACTGCGTGGGTCACCAGGTTCACCCCCAAAGTAGAACAGGCTTCTCCTAGGAGTTTCCCAGGCCCACCCACCTTCACCACACACACAGCTCCTTGTCACCAGCTAGCTACTACATAATGGATGCTTGAGGGTCAGCTGAGAGCTGACCTGCCTCTCTGAGGTGAAATCCAGGGATACCACAACTCCCCTCTTTCTCTGGAGCCAGGCTTTCTCAAGGCCTCACAAAGAATGTCCTCATGCTGTGGTCTGCCCAAGGGAGGGGAGGACAAGATGCTCACAAGGGCTGCTCATTTTCTCAAAATGGTGCATTATTAAAATGCTTCCAAATGGAATCTCTTGGTATTTGATTAAGTCTCTTAACAAAACTAACTGAGCCACCATGGGAATTTTCAGCTGTCCGGCAGCCAATATCTGGCCTAAATTTTGACTAATTGGTGCCTTATGGCTTTAATCATGTAAACCAAATGTGCTTTAATTTTTCTTTCCATTTCATTTTCTTCCCAGTTTTATCAATTTGAGGAAATTTCAGCAGCCCCCAATTTTTTGAGAATCCCAGAAGTACAAGGTGAAGTTTAAAGGACAGTGCAAGGCAGAAGAAGAAATAAGTCAACCCTTGCCTTAGGCATGCCCACCAGCTCTGCTTGCTGGTGTCTGGCCTTGTCCTGACACATGCTGAGGCAGCTGCTGAGGTGATGGTGAGCCTCATGGAAGCCACCTGCCTCTGAGTCCCGGGAAAACCTGCATCCACACTGCTGCTGGCTGTGGGTCTTCCCACCAGGCCAAAAGTCTTCCTTCACTTGCCTTCCTGACTGGAGACCCAAAGCCCAGCCCACACTGAGGATCCTGGGGTGTTAGCTCAGTCTCTAGATCCTGCTGCCTCAACCACTCATGTCCCTCAGTCCCTGGGGCCCTCTGTCCAAACCTAACAAATCCCAACTTGATGCCTTGTAGTCCTTTGTCATGGCCTCCCTGGAGCCTGTGGGGACAAGTGACTAGGCCCCAGTCCCATGTCATCTCCTCCCTGTACTGGCGAATGCAGTGACTTCACAGCAGCAAAGGTGTTTCTGTTCATGGAGCATGTTCCTACAAGCAGAATTCATGGTCTGCCATAACCAACTTTTTCCTCAGTCATGTGTTTCAGGAAGAGATTGAAGGGGATCCCTAGGTGGTGCAGCGGTTTGGTGCCTGCCTTTGGCCCAGGGCGCGATCCTGAAGACCCGGGATCGAATCCCACGTCGGGCTCCCGGTGCATGGAGCCTGCTTCTCCCTCTGCCTGTGTCTCTGCCTCTCTTTCTCTCTCTGTGACTATCATAAATAAATAAAAATTAAAAAAAAAGTTGACAGGAGGAGATTGAAGACTTCACTAATTTAGCTAATAGTTTCAACATTTATCATAAAGTAGTCGCCAAAAGCCAAAACTCTCATCTAATAAGTCTGTTTAAAAGATTATTAGTAATTGTGGATGAGTTTATCTCCCTTCCACTCTGAGAATGAGTATGGGATCATGTCACCCATTTCAAATGTAAGGTCTCTATGTCCAGCTTTTCCTCCTCTTTGAAGAGTCCTGATAGAAACCTTAAGGGTTCTGTTTCCACATCACAAAGTCTAGGATGTAGACTTTGTCCTCCCCAAAGGAGACTGTGTAGACACTTGACCTACAATAAGGGGTTGGCTCATTTGGCACACTCACCGCCCCTAGTTCCCTGCTGCCTCACACCTTTACCAGGGAAGGTGCTGTCTCTGCCACTGAGGACAAAGGTCCAGGCAGCGTCTTGTCTTTGCCTAATTGAAGGCTCAGTGGGAGGAAAAACAGGAGGGGTCAAGTCAGCATGGCTGGGGATCCAGGGCTGGCAGGTGAGCTCTTGGATGTGGTCCCTGTGGCCGCCCCCTGGACCATTTGCACAGTCTCTCCCAGCTGTCTCCATGCTTCTGCTGCCCCCAGTATCCACAGCATCATTCCCACCTCAAGGCCTGTGTGGCTGCTGCTCTTGCCTTTGCAGAATACAGGTCCCTGCACAGTTCTCATGGCTGGCGCTCTCACCATTCTGTTCTCAGGGAGACCATCCCCCCCAGCCACACACACTTCCTCCTTTCCTCCTGCTCTAGTTTCTTCATGGTACCTACTGCTATCTTAAATTACTCTGTTTACTTTCTCATTGCTTCTCACAGCCATAGCTCTGACTTGACACCACTAGATCCCCAGACTCCAAATAGGGTCTGGCACATAGTAGGTGTTCAATCATCTTGAGTACAGAATCATACTAATGCGTGTAGGACCCTTTATAGTTGCCAGAAGAGCTTTTCATGTGTCACCTCGGGTACGCTTGTGGTTTATTTCTGCCCACTTCTAACTAAACTGAGGGCCTTGGGAATGAGGATGTGTAATTCTCTTATAACACCACAGACTTCAAACTTAGGCTATACCCATTTTATATAATTGCAGTCATGTTCGACGTATATATTTGTTTTGTGTTTTTTACTTTACATTGAAAGCATTTTCCTAATTGTCCTTATGTATAATGGCTGAATCATAGCATCACAGCACATAGGACACATAGCTGACAGTGTCCTTATTTGGTGGAGTGAGGAATTGAGGAAAGAAGGAAGTTGTGGAGGCTTATTTAGACTTGTTGCCCTGACATCGACATCGCTCTACTTTGTCTCCCTATCCACTGGAAGGTTCAGAGAAAGAGCTGGAAATGGGTGCTTTAATTAAGCCACTTCTGGGACGCCTGGGTGGCTCAGCAGTGGAGCATCTGCCTTTGGCTCAGGGCATGATCTTGGAGTCCCGGGATCCCTGCATGGAGCCTGCTTCTCCCTCTGCCTATGTCTCTGCTTCTGTGTGTGTGTGGTGAATAAATAAATAAAATCTTAAAATAATTAAGCCACTTCTATCTGCTTCTTTCCCACCTCAAAGCCCCACCCTTACACACACACTCCATACCACAAATGAGGGATCCTTTTTTTTTTTTTGACCTCCAAATCTAATACAACTAAGAGCTCTGCACGGGTGTTTTAAGAGGGCTTTGACCTTTCTCCCAATGTTCTCTGCTCACTGAAGTCAGCTTTTGTTTCTGTAGCCTCTGTATCTGTTTTCTGAGATGCTAAGAGGACTTCACATGCCCGGTTCCTTCACAGCCTCTCAGCATTTGTGATCATCATGGGATGCAGAGGGAAAAAAACCAGAAAGACCCAGAAGCCTCTCCACAGGCTTAGAGAGGTGGGCCCCACAGCCAATCCAATGCCAGATCCGCTCTAGGTTGAGAGCAATGATTTTCTCCCCGTGACTGTTGGGCAGTGGATTATAAGAGCCCAGCTGCTCCACGAAACGGCCATCCCAGGGGCACTTGTTGTGAGCAGCCACAATGCGGTAGAAAGGCCGGTTGGTACAGCCGCTCAGGGCAAGGCGGATGGTTAAGTGGCCCCCGTGGTAGGCCTTGCGCAGGACAGGAGTGAGCTGGACCATGGTGCAGCCGGCGGGTTAGTATATAGATACCTCAGTATGACCATATAGTTTCCTAAGGATGAGCTGGAACTTTCTTGGGTCAAGTTCAAATTCTATCTACTTACATAGTTTCTCACTTCCTGTGACCCAAGTTCTCACACTTTCCAAATCACTTGATGATTGCTACCTTGAGTGTTTTCTCTTGTGAGGAAATGATTCCAGCCTCCTGTGGTTGACATCCTAACACCACTGCCTTGGAAATACATTCTCTCATATTAGCCTTTCTAAGCACTTGGATGGGGTCCTCTGGGGAAAATAGCATGTACTGATCCTGTATTTCACTAGAGCTTTTTCTGGGCCATCCTGTAGTCTATCCTTATATCCACACAAGGTCCACAATTATAATTCTTTGCCAATTAAAACTGCTTTTTCCTCACATATTTTGGACCTGGATGTTGTAGCTAGTGAGTTGGATTAGGCCTAAAAGATTTCCCAAACCAGCTATATTATATTCAACACTTTAAAGTACTAGACTTAATGGCCAGAAACTGATATAATTATGTACAGTTTTAAGCAATAAGGGCATTTTGACTGCCCCATAGAGAGGTGAGAGAATTGGCTGGCCTAAAATGAGGGAGGTAGATAGAGATAATTGTCTTCTAGAAAATAATCATGTCTTATGGGATGAAAAGGAAAAACATTCAAATCCTCAGCATATTATTTCCATGTCCCCTGGATTTAGCAGGTGCCCACAGGTGCAGGCAGGAGTTTGGGCAGGAGAGGAGAATGAAGGTGTCAGGCTAGACTGGAGAGCATAAGGACCCGAGAGGAGGAAAGAAAGGTCAAGAGAAAGAAGAAAATCCTCCCACACTGGTGTGTTCTCACTAAAGTCCATACAATTTGATACTTCACATGTTTGCCTACCTCCCATCCTCCTTTGCTGGGTGCTTTTCCAAATCTGGAAATATCCATTCAGAGGAGAGCGTTCACCACATTGACCCTAGCTCTAGAGGCCCTGGTCCTACCTTCCTTGGTCAGATGCTGGCTCTGGCTCTGTATCCAGTGTTCCTACATCCAGACCCTGAATGGGGGAGGCAGAGGGCAGCATGATGATTAGGGCAAGAGGAGCAATGCAGTCAGCCATATCTGATCTCCATCTCAGCTCCACTATTAACCAGCAACCTCACCCCATCTATGGAATCATAGAAGACCTTCCTCATAGGTTCACTGTGAGGAGAACAACAAATAATAGTCCACAATGGCATTCCAGAAAACTTATAACTCACTTCCCATCATTAGCAAGGACAAACCTCCACCCATGGATGCAAAGAGGGATGCACAAAGCCTTCCGGTAGCCAGATGCTGAAGGATATCACCAAATGAGTTGTGGTCCCCATATCAGGAACCGTTCAGCAGACAGTACATATGATGACCCACAGAGTACTTCGGTCAACACCTGGAAAACCAAGTTCTGTCTAGAAGAGAAATTCTGTGGTCCCTGCTCCCAGTGGAAATGATGGGAGTCGACAACAATGGTGGGGAGCAAAGGGTACCATATGATTTGCAAGGGGCAGGGTGCACAGTGGCACAGAGGATACAGAGCCAGAGCCAGCATCTGACCAAGGAGGGTATTTATCAGCCCACCAGCCAACCCCAGCTGTACAGGGGGTGCAGCAGCTGATGTGAGAATGTAATGATCTCTTAGAACAGAGAGGGGTCTTAAAGTTGGGGAGACTGGGTCCTATCTCAGTGCCAGTGCTTGCCAGCCTGCAAACTTTGGCAAAGCACAGAAGCCTTGTTAGCCTCCATTTCTTCTGGGAAGTGAGCATTCTAGTATTTATTTTTCAAGGTTGTCAAAGTGTTCATTTCCTTTCTTGACCCAAATTCCAAGGCCTTTTTACTCCTAGGCCTTATAGCTCAATTAGTCTTACAAAGGTGGATCCCAACAGTTCCTACCTGAAACCTAGGATTTGTTAGCCTTGCCTGTTAGCCTTAGCATTGCACACCTGCTAATGCCCTGTGCACACTCCCCTGCTGCCCAATTCTTATTGAGAACTCAACACAGAAACCCATGGGTGCTCTTGAACAAGAGGTGGTCAGCCAGTTTCTTCCTCTTCTGCCCCAGTCTTCTTCAACTTGAGGAATCAATATACTCCAGCTACCATCATTTCTCTGGACCTCAATGCTGTTCAACTGCAAATGAAAGCTAAGCTGTGCTGTTTGTAGAGCATAGAAGAATCCCTCCATAGTGGTCAGTGTGGACACAGAGATGGTGCTATGCATGCCCTAGTACCATTCAGGCTTAGTGTAAGATCTCTGGCTCCCTCCAGAGAGCCTGAGTTCGTGGGAATCTGGGCCAAATCTAGGTGAGCAAGGCTTTGCAATGGGGCCTAGCTCCTCTGCAAGCCCTGTCTATTCCCTGTCTCTTCCCTTCTCTTCCCTAGAACCTAGTGTAGGTTCTAGCTGGAACCCCTCACTGCTTAGTGACCAATCAGCGGATCTACTGACAGCAATCAGGGATACCTCTAGATTTCTTTCCAGTCATCCCCCTGCTTACTAGTCCTGGTCGGAAGGGGCCTCACTTACTTTTGTTGAAGAACATAAAGGTTTCTTTTCTTAACATTTTATTTACTTATTCATATGAGAGAGAGAGAGGCAGAGACACAGGCAGAGGGAGAAGCAGGCTCCATGCAGGGAGCCCGACATGGGACTCGATCCCGGGTCTCCAGGATCAGGCCCTGGGCCGAAGGCGGTGCTAAACCACTGAGCCACCCAGGCTGCCCAAGAACATAGTTTTTAAATGGACTCCAGGGAAGGCATGGATGCCCTGAGGCCATTGAAAGCTGTATGAGAATTGCTCCATTTTACCCCACATGTGCTCAGCATCCTCGAAGGCATGATGAGCAAGCATACTGGCCTGGATGCAGAGCAGTGCATGTTAATATTGCCTTGCTTTGATGTCAATGTGGGAGGCAGGACCCTGGCAACAGCTCAAGAAATTTCTGGAGAGGCCCACAGTGAGCACTGCAACACCCAGCAGAGGGTGGGGGAGGAACTTCCGAATCCCATCTCACCTTCCAGAGGTTCTTCCCCAGATTCTATTCTGGCATCTCATGGCAAGGGGATAGATGACATGTTTCGATATGCGTTTGGTAAAATGGCTTTGAAGTCACCTAAAAACCTCAGCTGAGAGAAGACAAAGTATATGTTAAGAGAACAAAATAAAGGGGCCCGGTGGATGGTTTTTTTTTTTTTTTTTAATTTAAACTCTCTGAAGTAGAGTTGTCATAGTTACCTGCCTGTTTTTACTTGTATTTGTGAGATCTGAGGGCCATGGAATTAAAACAAACCTCCGCTCTGTGAAGCGTGTGTCTGTAATAACAAGCACCAGGGAACACCTGGGCTGGCTCCCTGTTGCCTGTTTCATCTCCTGGATTTTTGTAGTCTCAGTGTTGCCTGGACCTGTCTGGAGGCCTCTCTGGTTAGAAAGCTGAAGCTACCTAGGCTTAATTTTGCCACACACATTCAGGATCACTGAAAACACAGGCAGATGTTATTACACACTCATAAACAAACCCCACAGGCTGCCCAGGCCTGACTTGGTTGGAGCCATGTATCTCTCCATTCCCCAAACCATTTCTAAACAGAGAAACTCACACTGGAACATTTTATGAGCTTCATGAGGACAATGCTGTGAGTCATATTTTTTTTTCTTTTCTTTTTATTTATTTTTTTAATAAATTAATTTTTATTGGTGTTCAATTTACCAACATACAGAATAACACCCAGTGCTCATCCCGTCAAGTGTCCCTCAGTGCCCGTCACCCATTCACGCCCACCCCCCGCCCTCCTCCCCTTCCACCACCCCTAGTTCATTTCCCAGAGTTAGAAGTCTTTATGTTCTGTGTCCCTTTCTGATATTTCCCACACATTTCTTCTCCCTTCCCTTATATTCCCTTTCACTATTATTCATATTCCCCAAATGAATGAGAACATACACTGTTTGTCCTTCTCCGATTGACTTACTTCACTCAGCATAATACCCTCCAGGTCCATCCACGTTGAAGCAAATGGTGGGTATTTGTCGTTTCTGATGGCTGAGGAATATTCTATTGTATACATAGACCACATCTGCTTTATCCATTCATCTTTATGAGGATGAATTCATGTTATACCACAGATAGAAAATTAAAATACATTCTTATTCACACCTTTTTTATGGCCTTAGATAAGGAGTGTAGGCACCAGACCTGGCTTTGTCCCTCAGTGGCCACCATGACCTGGATAAGCCACTGTCCTCCCTGTTGTCACAGCCTCACCTGCTAACTGAAGGAGCTCACCAACTTCAATGTCCTGCCATTGCAGGGGATAGAAGATGATTTTTTTTGTGAGTTTGCCTTTGGGAAAGTGAAATCCAGAAAGGAGCCAACCCCAACTGTCCTGTAGGGTGTGCATATAAAGTCACTACCTTACAATTTGTTAGCCAGGCAGAGAATTTGAAGATTGATTCTGCAGGACACCTGCCTCTCCTTACAGTGTTTTGGTTTTACCCAGTGATGCATGAATGCCGGTTGACATGCACCATATTCAAGCCACAGTAGCAGGTTGAATAAGTTGTGTATTTGCCCAAAGTATACAATCTGTTTTTAATGTATCCTCAATTAAACAGCACTGGAGGAACAATCTTTCTAAGATGATCTTGGTTCTAAGCTCCAATTCCCAACTTTTTATCTGATCTTTTTCTTGAACACCCCATGTTTTTAGTGCTCCTGTCTACCAAAGGAACTGCATGTATTTAGTATAATTCATGTTTCCATTTTGATTGATTTTAGCCACACAGCTACGAGACAGATGTCTCAGGGTGAGATAATGACAACCACACCATATTCAGCTGATATATTTGATATATTTTTATTATAATGAGGAATGTGAGGCAGGCATGACTCTTTTCACAGGAAGTGGACGTTTTGAAATAATGAAATCCACTCATGGACCCTTAGAGGTCCAGGAACCTCTGCTATAGAACATTA